CCCCCCCCCAAGACTAGTGATTTAAATTATTTAATTTGAGGCATACATGCCACCACAGACACGCTGGCAATGTGGAGATATATATATATATTTAAAAGTATAAATATAAAATGAATAGATTTATAGCAGAGATAAATACAGATATATTTACACTATATAATATAGATCTATCTCTGTTATATATATTTATCTGTAAAACATACGTAGGCTGATGCACTAGATAAACAGAAGTGTCCCTCTCCTTTAGAGGAAGAAAGCTTCCTAGTTTTATTTTTTTAATACCTCTCTCTACATCAGTACTAAAACTGCAGCAAATGTTTCCTAGTAAAGCACTTGCACATAGTCTTCAGAAAAGTGTGGTTAAGGTTAACTTCCACTGTCTTTAACATTAGTCCATTTTTTCTAGTCATAAGCCATTTTCTAAGAGGCTTATGTAAATATTTGCCTCTTGTGGAAGGGAAACGATCCTTTGATTATTTAGGTTACACAGAGTGTTTCTCAGGAAAATGAGCTTGCAATTTTAACAGTTACTATGTCTCCAGCTGGGAGAAGGACTCAGCATTTCTTCACTTCTGTTTTATCATTCTGTGAAATACCCATCATGATGTTTTCCACAGGCTTTAAGACCACAAGTCTCGTTACAACCCTACACTAAATGGCTACACTAGGTATGACATTCGGTCTTGTTAACTGGTTCTGTTTTCAACAGTTTAACGGCTTGTTAGGCTGCATTGTGCACTTTACAAATACCTAGTCCACATTCACCATACCTAATTAACATAGCCAAATTAGGAAAGTCACTTGCTGAGTAATGGGACTGCTGCAGAGACACACACACAACCACAAAGAGCAGTCTGACACACCTTCTCTCCACTTTTGTGCAACCTGGTCTAGCAGGTGTCAGGGAGGTTGGAACCTTTAAGGTCCCTTCCAACCTGAGCCATTCTATGATTCACTGTCAAGACAACTCAATTTATTACCTCCATGAGGTGGGATGAATGCATACTGTCCTTTTTTGTTCAGCAGAGAAAGATTAGGATCGATATTGTTTCATCACTATTTAGCCCCTTTGTATTTGAAAGACAAACCAGAATTATTTTCTAGCACCAATTTAAGAAGCAGAGATTTATGAGGATAAAAAGAACCACTTTTTCCTCACGTGCACAATCTCTGAATAGCAGATTGAACCCACGCCGTGAAACGTGGTTGAAATCAGATGCCACAATCTCCCTGTTCGCCAGTGAAATCCTGTTTCCTGAAACCTTGAGCTCCAGCCCCTCCACCGCGTTGCCAGCGGGACCTACCCAGGCTGCCGGCTGCCAGCGCAGACTGCAGAGCCCCAGCCAGGCTTGGGACCATCTGCTGGTAGTACACGGTATCGGAGCAGACACACGCAGCAGCACCCACGGGGCCGGGCCAGCTCCGGATGGGCCTGGGGAACCCGATCAGGAACACCGGCAGCGTGAAGAGCGGCAGCAAGGGGGAGGAAAGCAGCGCCGAGACGGCGATGAAGGTCAGCAGGATGGGGAAGAACACCACGTTGAGTGTGATTAAGGTGGCGGTAGATTTTCGCCGTTGTTTTTTCTCCGTCCACGATGTCAAAAGAACAGCGATGGCAAAGTGCAGCTTGGAGACAAACTGCAGCAGTCGGTCCCGTAGGATGCCAACCTGCAAGGCAAGGCAAGGTTATTTGCAGCCTCTATATCATATTCAGCACTGAAAAGTTGCTTTATCTAAAATGTTAAGAAAATAAAGTATGATTGTCACCGGGTGGTATTAGGAGTGCACAGCTTAGAACACAGTTTTTTAGCTTCTATTTACTAGGTCCTGGACTCCACAGCTCTGACAGGGGAGGGCAAGGAAACAAAGACTTTATGTGACAATTAGCTGTATGAATTTACATTATGATAATTACCAGCAAGAGTCTGATTCCTGTATCAAGGCTCCTGTTCCACCAGAGGTCAGGATTAAACACCAACATTTGTGCTATTGACACAACCACTATATCCAGCAGGGCATTTTCTGTATTCTGCCAGACCTAAAACAGAGATATGTTAGGCATATATTTTAAAAGGTACTTATCTATGTCCCCTTTCATGACCTGGAATATTTTTTCCAAGTCACCTTAATTACGTAGAAGATGATTTCTTAGGCTAACATATTGAAAATTCAAATTACCATCCTAAATATTCTTGTGAATCCAATGCAAACAGACACAGAATGAAGACTTTGTAGTGAACGGTCTAGTGACAGGAACGCTATCATAGCAAACGGAGACACTGTAATTGAAATAAAAGAATCATTGATTTCCTTTCAAAAACATAATTAAAGTCTACACAGGCAATCAGTCTTATTGCAGAATGGAAATTTTAGCTTAAAAAAAAAAAAAGAACATTTTTCATGATTACAAACTCCTCCTTTTATACACTTCCAGGATATCAAACAGTGTGTTTGCACTGATGGCCCAAGACGGGAAATATTTAGATCTTAGTTGTCACTTGTTATTACTTTATTTGTTGTTTGTTTCCCCAAGAGAATGGGAATACTCAAATAAATAAAAATAAACATGGGACTAATGCTCATCAATCCATTTCCCCAAACAGATGCTTGTTTATGAAATTAAATAATTGAGATCAAATTTTGGTTCCCCCAAAGCAGATACATTTGTCCCTAACCTACCAGAATGGAGACTGTTCCCTTTGCTATCAAGTTGTAACAACCAAATAGTTAGTTTGAAGACTCTCAACTAATTTTTTTTTTTCCAAGTACCTTTTAGAAAAATCTACAAGAGCCACTTCTTAAGAAGTGAGTACTGATTTTAGAACTCAAACCCTTTAAAAGGCCTCCCTTTCTGAGATGGACTTTTTAAAAGCTCAGCTTCTTACGTTTACCCCTAAAACCCCAAATAAATAAAATCACTTTCAAACATTCTGAACTAGTAATTTTAACCTCAATGCACAACTTGGCAAAAACATCAACAAATATTCCCAGCTACTTGGTTTTTCTTAGTTCATTCACAGAATCTTGCACATAGAGCAATTCTAGTGTTGTTTCAGCCTTCCTACAAGCATCATCTAACAAACAACAGACAGGGTGTATTCCTACCTAGTGTTAGTAAAATCCTTCTGACAACACCAACTTTCATTAGCCTTCTTTGCTTCTCCATGAACACAGTCACAGTCCTGACATCCTTTGGATAAAAGGGGTTTCGGAAGACTCCAAACAAGTACACTCTCTGAATCTCTCTAAGAATCCACACAATTATAAGTAATAGGATCAGAATGTAACTTGCTATAGCCTGAGGGCTGCCTTTGGAAAATGATGAAAAGCCTGCAAACTGATGCAGCAGGCTAGCTTCTGTGAGAGCAAACGTCAATACAGTCAAATAAAAAATAAATTCCCTCCACCCAAATTGCATCCTAAGGCCACTGTGCATAGTTTTAGGTTTGCTGGAGGCTAAATGGCTGACCATGGTGTGTTTGAAGGCAAAACCGATCTCGCTTAGGTTAAGACTCAGTATGAACCCAAATCCAGTCATGAAGAGGATCACACCGAGAGTGCTGCGAATGAAATACGACGCTATTGCTGTTCCAGCAGAAATGAGAAACATTACTAACAACCTGTGAAGGAGAAAATAAACAAGATTTGCTTGAAAAGAAAAAGGTTATCATGGATATTGATACATTTTACAATGATATAAACAGCATTTACTTTGTGTTACTTGACATGGGTGAACCTCCTAGTCCAAACTCCAACAGTTGTTCCATTCCCCACAGAAAAAGCGCGTCAAGCGGGGGCAGAATTCCCAGTGCCCACAAGAATGGCAGAAAAAGAAATATGATGTGCAAAATCTGGTTTGTCTGTTCTAGAATGGGTGTGTTGACAGCAAACCTGGATAAAAGAAGAGAAGTATTTGACTTCTGTGAAGTAAAAGACAACTGACGCGTGGGAAGACTGTTTAACTACTACAGCAAATCCAGAAGTATAAACATTACATATTCCATCTACAAAACCTCAACCAGCATGTTTTAAAAGGAAAAATAAGAACATACATTTATGCTCGGGGGAGTGATACACTAATTAGAACATCAGAACATAGGCTAATTTTGCATTCAAAAGATCTGAAGCCTTCAGATTACGCAGATGAGTCAAGCAGTGTAAGTATCCTAATTGTTTTGATACTGTTGTGATAATGCTCAAAAAATACTCATGCAAAAAAAAAGGTCCACGAGCTTCGAGACCTCAAAAGATTAACAAAAAAATGCTAAGTATTTTTTTTTCAGGATCAGAAAAGCATAACTTTATGCAAATCCAAGACACAAGATGTGTTAACACCGAAAAAACTGGCATGTTGTCTGTACACAGAGATGAACTTTCTTTATGAATAGTAAAGGTTATTTTTTACATAAAAGTATTAAAATCATCCTGTAAAAATGCAAAAATCAGTATTAGAAATCTGCATAAATTCTATGCCATACTTAATGCACCACTTAGCTAATTAACTTAAAGGTAGACTGCTAAAATATTAGTTTTCCCTCACTTCTTACTAAATAAGTAAGTAAGCTTAAAGGGAATTTAGTCAGGAATTTAAAGCATGTCTGAATTTTCTCCTCTGGAAATGAGAAGAATTTTGGATCCAGGACCATGTGCATAATGCCCATCACTGAAGAGGTAACGAGGGTAAAATATTTTTAACAATAAAACTTAATTATTATCATTATAAAAGACATCTGCAAGTGCAAAACTAGTAAAATCAAACATGCTGTTTTAAAATGCATTTGAAGTTCCTCAACCATAAAATATGTACAAGTGACAACGTGATATAAACATCACCCAACAGGGAAAAAGAATGCATAAAACAAATCTAAAAGTATCTTGCTTTAAGAGATTCTACAAATACTTTAGCTAAGACACCAAGTCCAAATACAAAAGTCTCCTATTTGTAGACTGGCATTGTTCTTTTGTATTATAAAAACATTTTAAAATCCGAGTTCAAAACCCGTATAACAAAGATGCAGCTATGTTCACATTTGCTTACCCATTCATTAAAACCAAATTCGTGCTCTCTTTTGCCTGTAATTTAAAACCCTCTACAATCAGTCTTTCCAAAGATTCAATTAGAAAATACTTCAGGATTAAATCTAGATATAGATCCTAAAGTTTGCAGTGTTTAGACCTATGATTCCAGGTCAGCAATATGTTTTTTGAAAACATATCCTTTAAAAGGATGTTGATGCAAAAATACTCTTGTACAGCAATACTGAAATTGGCAGACCATTTTAGCTGTCCTTTACTTAGAAACTGCTCTGACTGCTCTTTCCAATTTCCGTGGAATGCTATAAAAACTTAAGAAGAACCTTTTAATTGCAGCACAGAGACTCAGCTTTCACCATGGACTCTTCTAGCTTCTTTCTCTGGAGTTCCTACAGATTGAAATCTCAATACAAATTTTCCTCAGAAGAATAATTTAATGCTTCTCACTAAAAACCTAGAGAATAACCAGCACTTTAACTAGCTAAAAGCTGTATCATGTTTACCTGTGTGCAAGATCCACTGCAATAAAGATAAAAATGTAGAAAGGTCTCATCAGAGCAGTTATTTCATAAGTATCCAGTGCTTGGAAAGTAGCTGTTTCGGTAGCTGTATTTATGATTAACGAATATTCTCCTATACATACAGTGACCCACCCAAACACAAAGATCATAATAGTCCCTCCAATGTTGCTATACAGCAAGGTTATTCTGTTTGGCAGCAAATACCAAGTTCCCAGCCCACACAATGCCCCTGCCAGAAGGGAATGAAATACAGTGTTGATTATATACTTCTTGCCAGGAATAATAAATTTTACTGTCTCTGAACCTACGCAGCTGGAAAATTCAAACTCATCTTCATCTGTTAGGGTGTTCTGAATTTGCATTCTTTCTACTGTCACTGTTTTCTGTTTTGCATATATATTTGTCATCTGAAGAATAAGTGCAGTAACAAACATCAGTCCTCCCGAGAGTGCTGCGGTGTAGTAGTCTTTCATAACTCCTAACTGGTACAAAAGTGTTCCTACTCCTCCCAAAACCCATGGCGTCAGGAAAAGAATAATCTGATTCACATATATGTAAGGAGGGGCACAATAGCCTAATTTAAACCGGGGACCTCCCAGCACAGTTTGTGGAAAGCGCTTCAAGAAGAACTCCTGTTTGTAATCATTCAGCAGAGGTACATCTGGACCCATTCTTAATACTCAGGAATGCTGGATTAAGATCATTTTTCCTGTGAGAGGACAAAGAAAAAGACAAACATTACTGAATCTGGAACTCAGGACTTCACCTGGGAATTCTTTTGTCTTATTTTCATTTACCAAGTTATGGGGGAATTCTGACATGTTTGTGTTAGTAGACATCATACTAAAGCACCCACAGAACCTGACAGGATACAACTGCTAAGCAAAAACCTAAAATAGAAGATGACTATCTATTCTAAAATAAAGAATTTGTTCATAACCTGAAGCTTTAGGCAACAAATAAAACATATGGTATGTTTTTGGGAGGTTATGATAATCTGGTTTTGGGAGATTATTAACACCAACTCAGCTTCACACCAGAACACCTTCCTAAAATGGATTTTTTTCCCCATTCTGATTCCAATCACATCTTTCCACAGACCCCTATTTCCAATTAATGCTGTTAAGGATCTCCACATACAAACAGAAGAGTCAGTGATTTCAGGGAATAGCCGCATAAATGCAAGAATGCAGTCACACCTTTAAAAATCAAAGCCTTCTGAAATAAACTAACTGTAGAAAAAAAAATACTAGTAGGAGAATTAAAGCTGTTTTCCACATCAGCATTTTTACTATCCTCCCTACACAGTCGAACAGGATCTCACTGCACTAAGCACTACACGAGACATAAAATGAACAGTTCACTTTCTGCTTCCTAAAACATTTAAAATAAAATAAAGGAAAACCTACTATTTGAAAGTTGTAGCAGAATCTGCATATATTCTTCTCTATGTCAATGGAGAAGGCTGAAAAAAGGAAAAAACCTGTAAAAATTTACCATGAATCATCAAATAGAAATCAGATACGAATAGTCATTTAGAGAGGACCAGGCAATGTAGAAATAATGAATGTAAGAAAGCAACTATGATCTTCAAATATAATTTTATGCTAATAGTCACAAAAGGAATAATCCAAGAATGACAGCTAGAAATACTCAAGCAAAGAAACAGGGTGGAAAACCAGCACAAAAATGACAGTGTGAAAGCACTTAATTAATAATAATGCTAAAGGAGGTGTTGGTATGCATTAGGAAATGTGCCAGTACTGCAATCTGGGCTTTCTTCTATTCGACCTGTATAATCTGCAAAAGACCTTTTAGCCATCACTGCTGATAAACTAAAAACCAAGCACTTGGCTGCCGTGGAGTTTCCAAACTACCCGTGATCCCTTCTTTATACAATAACAAATGTTTTTAGGCACTTCTGAGAACCATTTACTCCTTACATTTAAAGATATCAATCACTTGAATTCTCATCACAGGGCTGAGCTAGAAACAGTGCAAATGAGAGACTAAAGGCTGAGCTGGAAATTTGTGTCCAGGGTCCACTAAGACAAAACACTGTACAAAGAAAAGCAAGACCCCACAGGCTCAGCAACTACTCCCTGTGTAGGCTGTCAAATTTATTTTTTAAGCAAGAATTGCAATTTGGACTTTTGGGACCTAGAATACTGAACATGGAACATTGAAAATACAGAAGATTTTTTGGTCATGCTATTTCAAACCATTCGAAGTTTCTTAAGGAAAGGAGAAGGCAGTAGTCAGCCTTAATGGAAAAGACACATGTTGACAATGGAGAGGGGAATTCATTGCAGTCAGCTCAGGAATTTGAAAATGTAACAGTGACACACCCAGCAAAAAACAAATTTCAAATGTAATTACAAAAAAATAAAACCCAAACCACAATTCAGTCAATACTGTTTAGAAGAAACACTGTTTAGAGGGCTACACTGGCATGAGACTAAGTTGCTGTGAAAGTTATAAGCAGTAGATTCATATGTACACAAATGATACAAGCTGAGTTTTAAAAGAAACACAGAATCAAAAGGTGCATAATTTTCCTTGAAAAACATTTTCTGGCAGCTGTGTCTTTCTGTTCTAAGAAGGGCTACTTTTGTTTCAAATTCTAGTCTGCATTTGTGTTTGTCAGTTTATATTGCTAACAAAATGTTAACAAAACATTCCTGTTACAGTTTCTGTGTAAACAATAGACATCTTTGTGTGAGACACAAAAATCTACGCACATAAACAATACGGTTCTACTTGGCTGTGCTCCAAAACGAGCCATAAAAAGATGTGAATTTATTTATAAATTAAAACCCCACGACTGAACCTCACAGAGTATGGTGCTTCAACTCTCCTCCTGGCTTCCAAATAGTCAGGTAGCACATCAGGCCTTCAAAGAGGCACTCCCGAATGTCTCTTGTTTCTGCACAAAGCCCTAGCAACAAGACTCCACACATCCACGTGTGTTTACAGGACCTGGCTTCAATATACATTCCTAACATACAGGCCTGGCCTGACTTCAACAACTTGCCTGGTTACCCAAACAATCCCCACCACAACAGTTGGTCATCACCAGCAAGGATCCATGATAACAAGGATGCTACAAGAACACCATAAAGCCATTTAACAAGCTGCAATATCCCTTCTATGTCCTTAGTGCACAGGGAAGTCTTGTTCAAACTCAGGCAGGAGCTCACAGGAGGCCACGAGCTTTCACCTAAACGAACATCACCCCTCCCATCCACTGCTGGTGGGTCAGCTGGTTTGGTTTCAAGCAGATTACCAGAGAACACGTGTGTTCCTCTCGGCCACCTGAGCCGCTGAAGCACGCAAGGCTTAAAAAATACTTACCTCGGGGGTCTTGGGGGGTCTTTTCACGTGAGACTAAGTGATGGTTACAAACCAAGTGCTGGCACGGGGCGGGGGGGGTGAAACCCGGGGGGATGCGGGCAGGAATTCCATGGGCAGCCTGAGCCCCCCCGTGTGCCCGGGCACCTGCAGCTCTGCCGGCTGCCCGGGGAGAGGTTGGGGCCCCTCCAGAGGCACTGATACCACCCCCGGGGAGACGGGGGGCAAAGCACCCGAGGCCGGAGCCCTCGCGTTGGGATGAGCATCCCAGCAGGGCTCAGGGA